TATCAAGTGCCATTCCAGCCTATTCAAAACATGGGGACATCATATTCTGGTAATTTGTGTTTATTTAATTTTTATATCAATTATTTTTCGTGAACCTTTTTTTCTTATTTATAACATGCGGAATTGTTAAAACCTTTTCCACCTATTACTTCTTCTTTTGAAATGTTTAAGAAAAGTTTCTTTCTGACTAGGTGAATCGCTATGGTGTGACAGATAATAGTTTTATAATTATAGGGCAAAATTAATAGTCATCACAAGCCAACTAAATATAACATTTTATTATTATTTTTAATGAGTATGGAATTATTATGAATATTTTATTAGACTCTGAAAAGTTACTACATTTCACACTTGTTTTGTAAAATTTTTCTTCGTTTTCGAAATGAATTTTATAATATTTACCATATTTCTAGAAATGCTTAAAAAAATGCCTTACATTATAATATCATAAATTTTTTTACTCATTTAAAACTTTTTAAAAAAGGGACTGCATATTTTATACAGTGATCACTGGCCAGTTATAAGTTAGCTCTATATTTGCCGATATTGCTAAGATAATGCTAAAGCCATTAGTTTTGTCTTTGCCATTGAATTCTGTAAATCGTTTTCTTACTTAGTTTTTTTTTTTTTTTTTTTCAATCAAGATTAATTGTTTTCATTGTAAACATGGAAATCAAATAAATGTTACAAATGCATTAGATACTAATGCACAGAGATTTACTTATTAAAGGGAAAAGTAACTTTGAGCAGGATGCATTAAGATATGCTACTTTTATAGGATATTTAATTTGGGTTTTTTTTTCCTTGGCTTGCTTAAAAAAAGTAGACTTCAAAATTTTGGAGAATATTATTTTAATTTTTTTCAGTATAAAAAATTTAGCCTTTTTTTTTATTTTTTTTTTAAGTCAATTATGAAATATTTAATAGTTTTATTGCACTTCCTTGAATAATCTTTAAATTGCACCAGAAAACAGATATGGCTGAAAATTAGAATTCTTAAAGAAATAACTATATCTTTTTGCTTACATGTTAAGTTTCTGAAACTATGAAGTATATGTTACACATTATTAAGAAAAACATCTGTAAAGGTTTTTTTTCTTCCTTTTTTTCTAATCTGATTATCTGTAATTTTTTAATGCTCCTTTGTGACGAATTCTTTCTTCTAAAATTTTAGGTATTTCGTGATACAGCATATAAAAACAGAACAAAAAAATAAGTTTTTTTTTTTCTTTTTCTTTTTTTTTTTTTTTTTTTTTTTTTTNTTTTTTTTTTTTCTTTTCTTTTTTTTTTTTTTTTTTTTTTTAAAGTTTGATAATGATTAACCAAATTTGAAAATGTTTGCTTACATTTTGCAAATTTTTGTAAATTTTATTTATATAGTATTTTTTTATCATTTATATAACTGGCTTATTTTAGTGATGAAGCTGTAAACTTTGCCATACAAAAAGGGCTGGTTGCATCTAGAAGTCAGATATTTTTCTTTAAACATAATGATATGGATGATCTTGAAAAACTTCTCTTAAATCAAGAAAAGTTGGATAAAATTGTAAGTTATCTTTTATCTCTTGTGTTTAGTCTCTCATCATATATTATACTGGCAGGAAATTAAATTGATCAATGTTTTTTTTTTAATATCTGAATTCTCTTTAAATCAATTAATTACATAATATGAGAAAGTATATTACTAAACTCTGACATTAACTTTATATCTAAAATTTGTCATTTTTATCTGTTCAAACAAAAAAAAAATTTTTTTTCATTCAAATCTTGGAAGCATGTATTTTTATTCTTTACTCTTTTTCAAATTAAAATGTCACAGGTGTGTTTTTGTCAGTATTGTATGTGAAAATATTATGTATGATTATTTGAATAATTAAAATTATTTTATAACTTTAAAATGTTTTATTTCGTTACGAAAGAAAAGTAGAGTGTATTTTCTACAACTAAATTTAAATTCATTTTCTTTCATAAGCACTTGATGTAAAGTTTGGTATGTTTCTAGGATTAATCAAATACCTCTTAAAAATGATGTCATTTAGATATACATTACATTTGTGTAATAAATAAAAAATAGTAATTGTTTTAAATTAACTTGTCCTTTGTTTGCACATTTAGGATTATACATAGTTTAAGCATGTATCTTAATAAATCTGTGTGTGCTGTATAAGTAGAATTGTAATAATTTAAGAATATTCAAAGAATTGAAAAGTTTAATGAGGGATAATGTATAAAAAGTTTAAATGGAAGAATACATGAAGTAGCATTTATTAAATTTTAAAATAAATCAACTTTAGAATTGCAGAAATAGTTTTTAAAATGTACCATATTGCCTTGTTGTTTCTTAAAATTATGCTACATTATCTTCAATTTACTACTTTTAAACAAATTTTTATTATTATTTTTTTGACAATACGCTTCTATGTTGTTACTAGAATCCAAAGAAAGCTCTGGTGACTAGAAGATTTTTAGTTGCGGAAGGATTGTATCTGAATAAAGGGGACATTTGTCCATTACCTGAATTGGTATATTTTCCTTTTATATATTTTTAATTTTTTATTGCAGATAATTATTCTCTAAAATTAAGTGTGATGCCATTTTTAAAGGTTATAATTTATAAATATAATGCAGCAATGTTCTAAGAATTTTCAATTCAACTTCTTAATAAAATGTCTTTACGTTTTCTCAAATATTCCTGAATGAATTCAAGTTAAGAGTTAAAGCTTGTGTCAGAAAGGGGGGGTAAACTTCAAGCAACATATTGAACCTAAATTAAAACTCGGGGGTGATTGTGCTCTGGGGGTACCTCAGAATTCCGGGTTTTTCATATTGTTCTTCCAGGTATAAAGTTCGGTGCTTACCTTTCAGTTTTACTGTTAAAAATCTCAAATTAATGTGATAGTAATAAACTCTCTATTTGTAGCAATCCTTATACTTCAAGGATTCTGACTGCACCACCCTTCGATGCGTACTGGTTGGAGGTTAGGAGCAGTTGGGGAAGGAGGAACAGAATGTGTGTGAGGGAGACAGAATTCTTTTCATCTCCTTGTGTTTTTGAAAATTCTTAGAATTTTGCAGGGTTGTAGGTTTCAGTTGTGCATTGCACTACTGACTATCACATGTTAGAATTTTCCCTGTCGAAATATTTCTATGTGCATACTTTGTGTTGTATTTATATTTGGCATAGAATCTTTTTAACCATTTTGTAGATCGCATTTTTTATGTAGACATTTTTTAACAGAAAAAATGGCAAAAAGGATCTAGAAAAAGACTGCAAGAAGAATTGTTTACTATATGGCATGTTTCACTATCAATATCTACATTTGTTGGATATTGATGGTGAAACATGCCATATTGTTAACTATTGTTCCAAACATTTTAAGGAGTCATTTTTTAAAGCACTTATAAATTCTATGTAAATACATTTATTTTTATTGTTAGTGTGCTGATGAGAGAGAATTATTTTTCCAACTTTGTGCAGTTCTTAAATTGAAATTACTGCAACTGTTAAATAAACCTGATCATAGATGGCTCTGTGCTTCAGGTTCTAGAGCATCTGCAGTATTTATGGGATGCTTTAATAATATTTATTTTTCATGGATTGTATTGGACAAAAAATTTTATGAAAATGATATAAAGGAAATGTCACCCAAAATATTCAAACTACACTGACAAAACAAGTATCTGACTGTTGATGGGGGGAAAAAATAATTGTTCAAAGACTTTTTTGTAGAGCAAAGAAAGACATTGTTGTTGTGTATCAATTTTTTTTTTGCCCCATTTCAATAAATGTGTCAAATTATTTCATGGCAATGAATAGCTTTTGCATGAGCTGCATGTTCAAATGTTTAATTTAACCTGACAATTTTTTTTTAAAAAAACGCACGAGCTTTTGTGCAATCTGAAGAGTTACCAAGATGTTTTGAAAATCGATCCAATCAAATCTGGAAATTATTTACCAGTTAAACTCATTTTCACAGGAATGGATGCTGCAGATAGCAATAATAAAACAGATTCTAGTGTTCAAGACTTTTTGAAGGTCCTGAAAAAAAGCTACTCAAATTGTGCATCATATATGCAGACAGAATTATCATTGAGTCAATAAAATTATCTGCACTCAATCCTGTCTAAAGAGGAGAGCCTGCAATTTTTACAGTACTGATGAAGCTAGGAGAATTTTTGTTATTTCAAAAGAAGACACATGCTGACCTAAGGCAGAATCAAACTGATGATTCTTATGCTTTTTTTTAAAGCAAGCCTATGAAGGGATTTTGATCAAAAATAATTGAACTTCAGGAAAGTAATGTCAAAAAATATCCCATTATTTCAAGGATGATCCAAGCTCTGTTAACATGTTTTTACGGACCATCAGTTGAAAGTACGTTTAATTTGATTGTCTGAAAATAGAACCTCCCTTAATATTGAATCAATAGACTATTCTATTGATTCAATATTAAGGTCAGTACTTGTGAGGTTCAAAAGATCCTGCACATGAACCAATTAGCTGTTCATGATTTAATTTACAGTTGGTCGAATTATTAGTCGAAAACTGTTCCTAATGCTGCTATTTATATATCTGAGAGCCATGTTGATTCTTCCTTCTCCTGTTCACAGTAAAAAGCACTGTGATTCTCAGAACACAGTTGCTTCTAGACTTTCAGAAGAATAATCTTTCTTTAAGAAATCTATATTAATTTAAAAGTTTTGTACCTTTTTCTTTCTCTATTAATACAGAATAACCTGTTAATTATTTTGAAATAGGATTGAATGTATTGATTTCGTAATTTTAATATCTAATTGTATGAAATGATTTATATTCCATATTGAAATACCAGTAATACTTTTGTAAAATTATATTTTGAAATGCATGGGAAGAGATGAATTTATTGTTGTACCTTAACTGATTTGACTTTATTTGTGTATTTAACGTTTTCTATCTATTCTGAATAAAGTTATTTTTTAGCTAAAATTATTTTTTGAAATATTAAATTTTAATAAATGTTAAGAAACTATTTATATATATATATA